TCTCAAATTCCAAAGGGAAAAAAAAAAAAAAACACTTTCAAACACGCCCCTCTGCAGAAAGCGCGGAAAAAACAGGCGCCTACTATTCCTCAGATGTCCAATCAAGCCGTAGTGACGCATTATCAGCCAATCAGTGCAGACTCAGTTTCTGATAGACAGCTTGACTAGCGAATCAGTAGTGCTCCTTTTAAGGGCGGGTCTTAGTGTTCAGGAAATGGTTTCCAAGTGTTCTGCATGATAAGGTAAGCGCACATTTGTTTTTATAAAAAGAAGTAGATCACGCACAATATGTCAGTGCAAATGTAAAAAATGATAATCGTGCAGGTTTACCTTTGCATTTTGAAGGTAAACTTTATTTCTGATTAAATATTCCTGAAAATTAGTACATATTTATTTTAGCCAAATAGGCACTGTTGCCAGTGTGGCACTTATGAAAACTAATTCGTATACGAAATGATTAGAAAGTCATAGTAATGTCCATATATCATAAAAAGTGTGTTAAAGTAAACTGTTTGTCACACATGCTTCCCCATTCACTAGAGAATGCTGGTAATGTTGTATAATATGTTGCTTGTGTGTATAGAGCTGAAAACATCCATATTTACCTTGTGGTGGTATTTATGACAACCATATTTTCGATGCTTTTGATCTTTTAGCTAGAGAGGAGGATGGATGCCACTCAGCAGATCGACGATCCCTTCTCTGAAGAAGAAGAAGAAGAAGAGGAGGAGAAAGGAGGACCAGAAAGAGAACAATTAGCAACACTAAAGGTGTTCAAAAATGACCACATACCAGAGACAGGTGAGTGCTCTTATTGACTACCTTATATATTAACTAATATTAGAAACTAATATTATCTGTGCATTATTGAAATTATGACATTGCCTTCTCTTTTTCTCTCTTCACACGTTCAATCAGAATTCCCTCTCTACATCGGAGAGAATGTCATCGGTCGTGATCCTGCTGCCTGTTCTGTTCTGCTTCCGGCCCGATCTGTATCCAGTCGGCATGCTGTCATCTCCATCTCAGTGTTCCGCTCTAGCAACGATCGTTTTGGTAACGGTGATGATGTAGAAGCACTTTTCTGGGACATGGGCAGTTTGAATGGAACCAGAAAAGGCAGATTCAAGCTGACGCCTCAGGTCCGATACACTTTGACCGAGGGAGAGAGTGTGGTGCTCGCTGATGTGCCATGTCAGTACACTGGCCTGAAGATCTCAAAGAAAGATACATGCATAACTCCAGAGAAAGGAGGTGTGCCCAAAAAGGAGAAAAAATCAAGTCCAGCATTATCAAGTAGTGACTCTGAGTCAGAGTTGAGTAAAGGTGTGCGGAATAGGTTGAATGTGAAAGAGAGGAGCGTTTTGCCTCCTGTGCCTTTATGGAGCCCTGAGGATGAACAACCCAAAATGAGTTCACCACAATCAGCTCACAAACAGCCTGAGATCACCCTGGTGCCTGAATCGGACTCAGATGGAGAGAGTGCGCCGGATGAGAGGAAAGATTTTGGTAGGTAAATTGAGATGCAAAGCACATTACTGGAAGATTTAATAACACACTGTTTTCATGCTTGCTTTCTTTTTTCTTTATTGCTATAGTCTCAGACTCAGCTTCTTCCTCCCATCTGTGTAGCTCCACAAATTCATCATTCCTGACCCCTGCAAAAAATGTCATTCCAGAGAGGTAAGTTAAATATGTTTTTTTAATGTTCCCTTCTAATTTTCCCTGAACTAGTAAAAAAAAAAAAAAAAGACATAATACGATTACGTAATGTTGATGTGCTACTGCGTAGGGTAACTGATATAACTCCATTGAAATTGTATTTTGCCTAAATAAATACATAAAGTGCATCCAAATGTGATTGTTTACCCTCAAACTTGTATGACTTTATTTTTCTGTGAGTGACAAAAGAAGATATTTGAATAATGTTTGTTTGTCATTTGTCTTTGTCCAAATTTTAAAGGTCAATAAGACAAAAATGCACATAAAATGTGATACTCCCCCTCATGTGTTTCAAATTTATTGACAGTTAGTCTTGTAATAGTTTTCAATGATTCACACCTAGTCACCTATTTAAAATTTATGGCCATTATGAAAGGAAAGATTTAATGTGATAAAGCAAAAATCACTTTTTTAAATGTATATAATGGAATCTGTCAGTTTGAAAGTTCAATGCATGCCTGCTGTTGCATGGCTGAAAGTGCAGTTGCATATACTGTCTACACCGACAAAATCCAGTCATTTTAGTAGAAATCCACGCAATCAAAAATTTGGGTTCAACTTGGTCACACAAATTGACCATGTAGACCAACAGAAAGCTGTGTGGTTTAAAAGTAACTTCTATGTAAACTGCACTTCATATTTTGTTAAACTATTAACAGTAGACCTTTTTGCCCTTGTGTGATCGATCGCACCTTAATGCTATAAACTGTGCAGTACACAAAATATATTATCTCCCAATAAATTAGCTTCACCATATTTTTTTCCTTATCAGTGAGGATGAAAGTTCCATCACTCCATCTTCAGCCTCAATAGACCGGTTCAGACTGAGGCAAAACCCTGATGAGCCTTGTTCAAAGTCATCTAAGCCTGGCCCTCTAGTCCTAAATCTGGACAGTGACGTTGATTTTGAAGAAAAGGACATGGAGACAAGCAAGCCTGAAGCCGAGGCTCAGCCTGAATTAGCTGCAAAGGTGGAACCAGTATCTTCAGCTGATCTTCATATGGACAGTGATACTGATGTTGAGGAAGAGGAACCGGAGACAAGTAAGGCTGGACCAGAGGCTCAAGAAGCAGTAACTCTAGAGAAATCTGTATCTTCAGTTGGCCTTCATATGGACACTGATACTGATGTTGAAGAAGAGGAAGAGAAAAATAAAACTGAAACAGAGGCTCAGATTGAACAAGCTCCAAAGGTGGGACCACCATCTTCAGCTGATCTTCATATGGACAGTGATACTGATGTTGAGGAAGAGGAACCAGAAGCAAGTAAGGCTGAACCACAGGCTCAAGAAGCAGTAACTCTTGATAAATCTGTCTCTTCAGTTGGACTTCATATGGACAGTGATACTGATGTTGAAGAAGATGAAGAAGAGAAAAGCAAGACTGAACCCAAGGTTCACACTGAAGAAGCTCCAAAGGTGAAATCAGATCTTCATATGGACAGTGATACTGATGTTGAGGAGAATGAGGCTTCTATAACTGAAAATGTCTCCAAAAAGGAAGCAGTTACAGAAAGTCCTCCATCAGCAGCACCACCACATACAGAATTCCACATGGACAGTGACACTGATGTTGAAGATGATAATCCCATGAAGGTTTCTATTGCAACAGAGGTCTCACATCCCATTGGAGAGGGAAGTGATGTCAGGCCTACATCAGCTCCAGGGACAGAGCTCCACATGGACAGTGACACAGATGTAGATGAAGAGAATGAGGACAAGGAAAAGGTGAAGGCCAGAGGTCTTCTGTCAAACAGTGAAACAGATGATGAGGATCCTTTTAAACTTTTACCAGGCAAAGCTGTGAAGGCCGCACAGAGTCACAAGGTGTCTCTAGGTAGCAAAACAGAGCAATCAGAAGAGAGCACCCGTAAAAAGCAAGACCATCATTCTCAAGCAAAGTCTAATCTTGAGGAACCAACCCAAGCTTTTGGCCACTTAGAAGAAGAGTGGGACTTACTGCCCACGCAAGCATACGGTAAGCATCCCACCCACTTCCTTCTTAATCTCATTCTTTTTTTTCAATTATAATATTCATTCATGTAGTCAGTACAGTTCAGTAAACAGTAAATTCTTAAAACCTCTTTTCTATGAAAGGGGTTTCAGACTTGGTTGCCAGAGTATGTTAGAGGTGCATGATACTGATTGCCACAAGTATTTTCAACTTTTCTTTAAAATAATAATTATAATTGGTTACAGTGAGGCATTTACAATAGAAGTCAATAGGGCCAATATGTGAACTGCAAAACTATAGCCACAATATGTAAATATATGAAAAATATGTTGATATTGATTTTAGTATGATAAAATGCAACATAACACCAATCTTAACCAAAGAATTAATAAAAAATTACCTTAGAATTATAGGCTTCAAATATTTGCTTTTACATCCTCCAAATATTTGCCTTGTTAACTTCCATAGTAGCTGTTTCACTGTAGCTTTTTTAGTCGAATGTGTCAAAATAATTTTTTGGGATAATCAATATTATGCCACTAATGCTATCAGTTGAGCTTAATTTATATTGAACCCATACAATTCCTTGTATGGTATTGTGTTGTATGAATTGTGTTATATGCCAATTTTAGGAACTGCTGGAACCAGTGCTAGGCTCAAGCCAAAGCAGCTTGATCTTGAGGCTACACAGGCATATGGAACAGAGACAGACTGCGAGGAAGAGCAGGAGCCTCTGAACCATACCCAACCCTACTCCAACTTCTCAACTGCTGAAACTCAGCTCATCCCAGTAGCAAAGCCTGATGATGACGAGGAGGAGGAAGATAAAGAGACACAAAATGACTCTCACCTTTCCACAGCAGACACTCTGATCATAGCCAGCACCCCAAAACGGGAGGAGCAGACGCAGCCGTTTTCTCTTTTCACAGCCCAAACACAACTTGTCTGGGAGGGAGAAGACAAAGAGGTTTATCAGAATGAGCCCACCCAGCTCATGACCGACACCATTGAAGAAACGGAAAAGGGTGAGGAGGAGAACATGAAACGAGGTAGGAGAACCCATGGTGGAGGGACAGTACACAAAGGTAAAAACACCAGCTCCTGTTTTATAATTGCTGAAACTCAGCCCATGTGTGAGGAAGAAGAGGCAACAGATGCAGATCTGAGTGGGGATGGCTTTCAGAAACCAAGACAACAGGCTGAGAAATATGATTCTGCACATCTTGCTGAAAACAACTTCAGCTCCCATCTCACTATAGCTGAAACGCAACCAATGTGTGATGATGATGATGATGCACCAGATCAGGACAAAGTGGTCAGCAGTAGTCATATAGAAAAACCTTCCAGTTCCCATATCGCCATCGCAGAAACGCAGCCAATGTTTGAGGAAGACGAAGCACCAGAGGATGATCTGAACAATGAGGTCCGGAGAAGACAAACCGAAGGTGAGCCTGTACATCATATTGAAAAGGCCTCCACCTCCAATCGTGCCATCCCTGAAACGCAGTCTGTTGGTGAAGATGATGAGGGACAAGAGGAAGAGCTTAGCAGCAAGATGTCCATCAGAAGATCACGCAGGTGTAGACCAAAAAAAGAGAAGGAAGTCCCACTACCTGCCGAGGCTATTGTCGAACACACTATAACAGAAACACAACCAATGTGTGAGGAAGAACAAACTGAGGATCTGAAAAGTGAGGTCAGCTCTGGGAGACAGAGTAAAAGACAACAAGCACATGAATTCAAATCTCCAGAACTTGCTAAACTGGACTTGAAAGCATGTGTCACTGTTGCTGAAACGCAACCTATGTGTGAAGAAGAGGCACCATGTGAAGATCTGATTAATGCAGTTAGCACCAGACAGATAGATGAAGACCGATCCACAGAACTCCCAATACCCTCGAGCTCCCATATCAGCGTAGATGAAACACAGCCTATGCATGAGGAAGATGAAGGACAGGAAAAAGACCTCAGCAGCAAGATGGCAAGCAGAAGATCACGAAGGGGAAGACCAAAGAAAGACGACGAGGTAACACAAACTGCTGAGGCTGCTGTTTATCAGACTATCAAAGAAACCCAACCAGTTCCTGAAGAAGTGATTGAAAGGGATAAAGATCTGAACAGCGGAGTGAAATCCAGGAGGTCCCGCAGAGGAAGGCAGATAAAAGAGGACAGCGTTCCACAACCTGCTGAAGCTGCCGTCAGCTCCATTTTTATTAACACAGAAATGCAGCCTGTTCATGAGGACAGAACTGAAAGGGATGAAGATCTGAGTGGCATCAGATCCAAAAGACCCTGCAGAGGAAGACAAAAAGATGAAGGTGAACCTGCACAGTCTGCTGAACCGAACTCCGATCTCAGTGTTGTTGAAACACAGCCCATGGTTGAGGAGAACGCCCAAGAAGAACCGAGTGTCAGAAGCAGCAAAAGACAGAGGAAAGACAAGACAGAGGTGAAGGAGAACACCCAAGAAGAACCTAGTGGCAGAAGTAGCAGAAGACAGAGGAAAGACAAGACAGAGGTGGAGAGTGAGACAGCTGTATCTAGCAAAGTCCAAGGTAAAACTAGAAAAGGGCAGGAAGGAAAAAGAAAGAGGGGTAAAGCGTTGTCTGAGGACGAGGAAGAGAGTGAAGAAGAAAAAACCACAAGGAGAGGAACCAGACGGACGGGTATAAAACTGAAGTGTAGTGAAAATAAAGAAGAGGAAAAATTGGAGGAGAGGAATGCCCAAGAAGAGAAAGAGAGGATGGAGAAAGAGCTCCAAGAACGAGAGGAGACGGAGAGGTTAGAGACGGAAGAAAAGGAGAATGGGAGAAAGAAACGAGAAGAACGTGAACAGAGAAAGAGGGCTGAATCCGAAATGAGACAAACACTAGAAAGGGAGCAGAAGGAATTAGAGGAAAAAGAACGATTGAAAAGGGAAGAAGAGGAAAAAATGAGAAAAGAAAATGAGAGAATTCAGCGGGAAAAAGAGGAAAAAGATTGTTTAGAAAAAGAAGAGAAGGAGAGGTTTGAAAGGGAGAGGAGAGAACTAGAAGAAAGAATTCAGAAGGAGGAAGAAGAGAAGAAAAGGTTGGAGAGGGAGAGGAGAGAACTAGAAGAACAAAGACGAAAGGAAGAAGAGGAAAGAATTCAAAAGGAGAAGGAAAGATTAGAGGCGGAAAGAGAACAATTAGAAAAGGAAAGACGAGAAAATGAGGAACGTCTGATGAGAGCAACAGAACAAAAAAAGACAAAGGAGAGAAACCATCAGAAACAAAAGAATGAGGAGGACAAGACAGAACTAGAAGCTCCTCTAGTTCCTCCAGCCAGACGAACACGCCGCTGCTCAGGCTCCTCTATGAACTCAGATCAGTCTGTATCCTCACAACAGGAGGTGTCCAGCCAGAGGGGACGAGGGCGAGGCAGGGGGCGAGGCCGAGGGAAACAGACAGCTGATGAGCAACCCATCAGTGCTAGACAGTCTAGCAGGAGAGGAGCAGCTAGTGCAGTTGAAGACACAGAGCAGGACTCCAATTCAACAACCCGTTCCCGATCCCGCTCCCACTCCAGTTCTAGAAGTTCTGAAAGATCTGCTCATAGTATCGGACCTTCGAACCAAGGGACGAGAGGAAGAGGCAGAGGCAGGAAGAGTATGAAACTACCAGAACCGGAAGAAGTTTCCCAAGCTAAAACTTCTGGAAAAGGCAGGGGAAGAGGAGGAAGGCGTTCTGGTGTGGAGAATGTAAATGTCGGAATGGACAATGATCGTGAGCAAGATGCTGAGGTGGTGGAGGACAGCACTGCTGTGCCCCAAACCAACAGCAGAGGTCGTAAGAGAGCAGCAAACACTAGAGCATCCCCAGAAGAGGCTCCTTCACCCACACCCAAGACTCCAAGGCGGTCTGTGTCTAGTCAGGCGCACAAGGTCACACGCAGCCTCAAATACAGACGTTTACTAGCAGGTTTTATCGCTGTGTGGCTGACACCAATCTGTCATCTACTCTTTTAGGTGTTATTCACTGGGCTGACAGATGAGGACGGAGAAAGTGTCGTCACCCGGTTAGGTGGAAGTCTGGCGAAAGGAGTAAACGATATGACTCACCTAGTGACTGATAAAGCGAGACGCACTGTTAAGTTTTTGTGTGCTGTTGCCAGAGGGGTGCCAATCGTGACTCCTGATTGGCTAAAGAAGGTGAGGGAGTGCATATTAAAGGAATATTCCTGGTACAACCTAGCCAAACCCAAAATCCATTATCTGACTTTAAGCCTATAAAATGCTTGTTTGTCAAATATGTCAAATGTTGTTTATTCTTTGTTAAACTACTTTTTTAAATAGTTAAATTAAATTTTAATAATATGAATCTTCCATCTTTAATTGGTTGATAGTGTGATAGACCATCACCATGTCTGGTGGCAATGCTTAAATAACCCTACCCACTCACAACACATTAACATTTTTTTCTGAACCCAGAAATTTGTTCATGTATGTTTTGTCCATGTATTTCCTGGTCAAGAATGGTTTCTTATGATATTGCTGATTTGTTTCTATGTTTATGTTTGAGAAGCTGTTTGACAGGGGTTTCTAGCTGTGTAACTAGTACATAATACAGACTTTATTTTGAGCTCAACTCAAGCATGACAACATCCTCTCTTTCTCTCTCAGTGTGGAAAAGCGGGCCATTTCCTTTCTACTGATGAATATATATTGAAAGACACCGAGCAGGAGCAAAAGTTTAATTTCAGCCTACAGACGTCACTGCAAACTGCTCAAACTCAACCCCTTTTAAAGGTATTAGTTCCTCACAAGCACATTAGCATATCAAGCCCAAGCCTCAAGTTGTACCATTCGCATCATATATTTTCTCCCCTAATTTTGCTTTCATAGGGTTATGAGATTCACGTAACCCCTTCTGTGATGCCGGAACGATCTCAAATGAAAGAAATCATCACCTGCTGTGGAGCACGCTTCCTCCCCAAAATGCCCTCTGCTCACAAGGTACCCAGAACCAATGCATATATTCTCCTATTTCAATGCACATATTACTTATTCTCATATTTTATTGCGATTTCTCCCTCTGTTTATTTAGGGGCACACTGTGGTGGTGTCATGTGAGCAGGACACGGCGCTTTGTGATAAGGCAGTGAGTATGTCATTGCCCGTGGTCAGCACAGAGTTCCTATTGACTGGCATTCTGCAGCAGAGAGTTGACCTGCAGTCCTATTCTCTCACTTCCTCTCTCAACATGTCCAATCAGCCTGCGGCCCCCAAAGCTGCTGCCAGGGGCCGAAGAAAGTAGTGACAATGACATAGGAAAGGACTTGTTGTGTATTACATTTGTTCTAGTCTGTGATAGAATCTGATACAAGTATGTTTCAGTACAGATTGCTTAAGATGAATATGTGACACGTAATATCTCAGTTTTATGAAGACTGTAATGGGTTAGATGAGATGCTGCTACACTTGTAACCACACATCCACTGATTCCTGTGAATGTGAGAGCTGGAGAGAGTGTGAGGTGGATGTCAATGAATGATGAGTGTTAGTGATGGGAGAATGAGCTCCTCTCATTTTTTTAACGTATTCAATAAACGCTTTCAGAGCCAAAATAAAGAAATATTGTGCGTTTTGCCCCTTTTTAATTCAAAAACTACATAAACACAAAATGTAGATTAAAACAGCAAAATGGTCTAGTGCACATTTATATTCACAAGGGCGTTGGTCTCAGTGATGAATCGATCTGAAGAACACCTTAAAAGACCTTCACGTCGGTTCTGCAAAGGTTGGCCGTGTGTGTTCAGATCCGCTGACACGCCCATAAGGGGTTGAAGCGCTGGGTTTTACCGACCGCACTCGAGACGCTGCAAGATACTGGACAGATTCCTAAGGTGCATCTTAGTCCTTAAGTGATCTTCGAGATAGCTAGGAAGCTGAAAGGAACGAATAGCGGATTTTCCTTCTATTACAGACTATCAGCTGAGGAGGGTATAGGAGGTGAGCGGTGAACACGGTAAGGGAGAATGTCAATTTTGCGGCAGGGATATCATAAATGGGCAGCTGGCTTTGGCTTGCAGGAATTGAAGGGTTAAATTCTGCAGTTTCTGCTTCGTCTGGTACTTTTCCGATTGGATAAAGTTGCTGTTTGCTGTTGGAACGCGAATAAAATAAGGTGTAAGATGCATATTTGGTCATTTAGAAGAGCATTTCGGCTTGTTGAAGAATAGATTTGCGCTCGTTTCTGCATAGCATCACAAAATGCCCCGTCCGCGCCGGTTCAGCATCCTGTTTTAACATGAAATGTTGCTATTAAAATACGCATTGAGATTAAATTACAGGAAAATTAACGACGAGAGCAAATCTTATCATTATATACATATTTATCGCGATAAGCTATAACCATAATTTTAATAATAACATTAATAATTTAGATTTTATATTCTCAGGGAGTGCACAGCTAATTTTGCCGGTACTGCGGCTCAACTGGCCTGTATCATTTTGTCGTCTATGCACCATCATAACCCCTACATGTGTAGGCGATCTTTCTCAGCTTGTGACCGACAGAAAATTTGTTTGACTGGCAAATATTTTTATGATTGGGAGGGGGAAAAGATCATAACACAAGGTTTTCGTCAGAAACAGAGGGGAGATGTGAGCTGCCGCCGCCCCCGCCGCTTATAACACATACGGACTGTGTCTCAAAACCCATTCAGTTGCTTAACTAATAGGCTACGCCATATTCTCAACCATAATGATGCCTAAAAATGGAGCCTAGGTAGTCAGCTCACTAGGTTGTGAGCACAGCCATGATCTCATCGCCTTTCATGTCATATATCAGACCCTTTTAGCTACAGTTTTGTATTGCATTGAACTGATCTAATTCCAGGCTTTAAAATAGATTATGATCCAGGAGATAATGTAGTCAAATAGGTGTGAATGGAATGATCTGGAAGTAATTTCCAGATGCCCCATCCTGGTCTCTTAGGAGATGACCTGCTTCTAACATCAATAACCACATATGAATTTGGTACAGCACCTTTCCAACGGTTGAGGTTGATTTCCCTGAGCTCCTATCCATCTCTTTTTATTTCCCTGCTTGCTACTGGCATAATTTACAATATGTAATATTGCAGTTCATATATCTGCAGCAGGTTGATTTGGGCTCCTATTCATCTTTTGTATTGTGCTCAGGAGAAAAGCATGTTGTATGTGAGCATCCTGTCGCCCGGTCTGCATTTCTGCCTCCATGTTGCCCATGTTTTAGGCATGCTGTGTCTTATAGGAAAGGAACTGTGAGCTTGCTGTAAGAGGTGTCATACTGAGATAAAGAGAGAGAGAGATAGAGAGAGAGAGAGAAAGCGTAGTGGACCAGATGGCACTTTGTCCATATGAAACTAAAATAGTGCTGACGCATTTACACATCAGCACGTGTTTTATTGTCTAGAGAGAGAGATATGCTCATTTGCTGTTTTTTCTAATTTTTGCAACTGAGTGGCAATAAAATGTTCATATGCAATAGTTGAGCTTCTGGGCAGAATTCTGTTATGAAATTACTGAATGGCCTAAATGCATGTCTGCTGTTCTGGATGCTTTCTTCGCTCTCTAATATATCTGGCCTGGCAAAGGTTTTCTTAGGATTCTTTCTATGTCATTATGTGTGAAGTGTTGGCTTCTTTCAGACTGTGAATTAATGTGTTTGTCCTAATATTTCCACATTACAGATTACCATACATCATACCTACCATTATATCACCTATAATAAAATTAAAATGAATTATAATTTATATAGCCTATTAGGATAAGGGTAAGTTTAGCACAAATTATAATTTGTACCTCAAAAGGGTTTCTGTATCATTATCAACATTACATAAGTGTTGTCACAGAAAACATTTGAAAATATTTTAGGGAATTTAAAATAGGGAATTTTAACATTTTTTCAAAATTTTGGGGGGAAATTTCCAGGCCAGTAAATGTATTGAAAAGTAATAATATCTTTTTAATTTCTATAGGGAATATGTTTATTTTATCTTTTACTCCAAAATGTTTAATTGGCTAAATGTTTATTTTTTTTCAAACCCCATAAAAAATAGTAAATAATAGTAGTTATGAGTAAGCCCACATGGAATCTGCTCTGAAAAGAAAGTTCTGCATTTTCTGCCGATTTGAAACTATTTAGACTGTCTATTTAGTTTTAAACATCAGAGAGAGACTTTTTGTAGAACAAACCAGGCTAACAGACTGAGTCTGATTTCATTTTCTCTCACATTTTTAATGTCTTTAGTCATTAAATCTCCTTCTGATTATTAAGATAATGATCCACCCAGTTGATGTCATATGCTTCTCATTCCATTTATACTGACAGCACTTTATCTAAAAGTATAATTTATAATGAAATTTATTTCTGAGATCTCTTAACTGGGAATCTGAATAATAAAATAACTGAAACAAGACTGTTGCTTATTATTTATTATAAATCCCTCTGAGAATCCAGATCAATGTTGGTTAGATAAGCAATGCACAAGACAAGCCAATAAACCCACAATTACTGACACGTCCAAATAGCTCTTTAAAAAGGCTCATTTGTCAACAGAGCCCTTTTAGATCCATGGCCTGATGATCTAAGCCAGAGCTGACACATCAGCCATAAAAGCTGAAAAACAGAGCCATAGACATCTGTCTAACATTAACATAAAGTAAATAGTTTTACCGTTACACCCTATTCAGCGCTCCACATCAAAGCTCTCAATCGATCTGTGTCCATTTGCCATTTTTATCAGTTTTATCCTTTTTGTCTAGCTGGAATGTGAGAAAACTTGAGCAACATACCAATAAAACTTACACATTCACAATGTCTTTAATGTCTTAAATGTTTTCAGAGCCAGTATGCAGAATCTGAGGCTGCTCATCTTAAGCGTGCTGTTTTACTCAGGTAAGAAAGATTCCTTGTGAATCCGTTCAGTGCTTGATCTTTATCATTATCAACATTACATAAGTGTTGTTTTTTGTACTGAAATGTTAAGGTCAGTGGCTCTGACATGCTAATAGCTATTGTAGTTTTTTTAATTATAGCCCTGATGCACAATGCATCATCTCTAAGTGCTGTAATGTTCCCACAAATGGCACGGGAGTATTGAATGCACCCGCATGCAGGGACTATATACCATACGTACATAGCTTTTAGTTATATAATGAATATCTGACCCAATATGATCGATCGGGGTATTAAAAGTGCCATCTCTAATGGGTATATAAGCCATACTTCATTTTCTGATACAAAGCTGTAGTTTTCATAACTTGTAGATTGGAATTTCAACCCAAAACTCAAAGCTGAAATGTGTGGTCATATTTCCGAATAGAAAAAGATAGTAAATTACTACATATGATTTGAAAAGTTAATATTTGTATTTTAACTCTTACCAAATGGCATTTGTTCACTAAAAATGTTCTTTAAATCTTTAAAATATTCGGTCCCACTTTATATTAAGTGGCCTTAACTACTATGTACTTATACATCAAAAAATAAGTACAATGTACTTATTGTGTTCATATTTTATTGCAAAACACTTCTGCTGCTATTGAGGTGGGATACGGGTAAGGTTAGGGCTGATGAACGATAAAACACTGACAGCCAATCAGAATCCATCCTGCTGTAACAAGCTCAAGAATTTAAAGCGGCAGACGCATGTGCGTTAGAATAAACAGACGATATAATTCGCTGGTGTGGACGCCAATATCGTTATCTTTATAGTTATCGTTCTTGGTGTGAACGGGGCTTTAAGCTTGTCTCTCACACACGCACACGATGCGCAAAACTCCGCATTTGAACAGTCAATAGCAAATACTTAAACTAGTAACAAAACAGTAGCTGATTCAGAAGCGCCAGATTGTCATAGCAAAGTCAGAATTACCTCCTCTCCTAGGTTCACGAAACGGTCGTCCATAAAATGCATTGCTGTTCTGTTGTAAGTGATCTTAAAGATTCCTAAATGCATCTACTTTCGGAAGGCCAAATAAAGTGCTTTTGCTTTCGCACTGAAACACACAGGTCTCTCTGACATGGCTGCTTCAACACTAACTGCGGTTACTGAAACCATGCCTTCTTTCTTTGCGTGCACATTTGAGCGGCATTACGCAGATATTTTCACATAGTGAGGTAGATATGTGGGGCGTGTTAGAACGAGCCGTTTTAGGGGGGCGTGGCAGAGTCTTAACTTTGATAAAGAATATCTTTTTGGTTTTGAGACTTTAGTCTTTGCAACTTCAGGGATCTTATCTATGCACAATCAGCTTGTAACACTCCAAAGAGAAAGGAAAACTTGAAATCGCATCATATGACCCCTTTAAGGTGTAAGGGATGGGTCAACAGTGTAATTACAGAAATTAATTACCTGATGCAATTACAGGTATTTTTAAAAATATAAGTACAATGTAAAAACATGTATGTACACAATAAGTGCATTGTACCGAAGGATTAATTTAAATGTAAGTACAGTAATTAAGGCCACTTAATACAAAGTGGGACCAAATATTCTAATAAACTTTTAAAAATGTCTTTCCCTATGAACTGTCATATTAATACATTAAAAATGTCAGACAATATGAAATGGTGTCACGGACAGTGGTTCATTTTTCATAATTGATTTCTAAATTAATTTAACAAATGTGTCTTGTTACTTGTGTTAAATTATTTCTTTTAATTTTAGGTTGCCTTTTTTAAAATCCGGCAAGGGGCAAAAGATGAAAATTAGCCTATTGGGCTAACTTTGGCTTATTTACAGTATTTTGACTGTTGATTAATGAGCACTGTCCCTATTAAATAAATAAATAAAATTATCCAAATACAAAAGAATGAATGTAAATGTAGTAATGATGAATATTCAAATATTGCATAAAGTTTAAGTAGGCCTACATGGTCAGTTTCTGTATGATTTGACTAGTTGATGTCACATTATGCTGTTAATGAACGTGTTTGTGTTAATCTAAACATTGGTGCTTTTCTTTTTGGCTTTTTAGCATTCTCTGCAACTCTGAAAGGTAAAACATAAACACAAGTCACTTTTTAATATTTGTTGTTTATTAATAACAAAAAGAAGCAGTTTCAACAGTGTAAAAAGTAAAATACCCCCCCCCCCAAAAATAAAAAAATAATATATATATATATATATATATATATATATCTTTG